CCCCATCCCCTCCTTTCCGTCACGGCAACCAGTATTAAAAAAAAAAAAAAGATACCCGTTTGTTTTCCTCCGCCGTTCCCGGTCGAGGCAACGAGCCCGTCTGGCGATGGTCTCCCTCGGGGCGCCCTCGCCTCCTCTTAACCGGAAGAGATCCTTCGGGCTCCTTCTCTCCTTCCTTTCGTTCTCGGGTTTCCGGCCGGAGGAGCGGATTCTGGGGTCAGGTATTGGGGTGGAAGATCCTCAGGACCAGGTGCGGGTTTCTTCACTTTAATGTATTTGGTTTTCTTGTTTTATGCACGCTCTCTCTTTTTTTTTTCTCGGTCTTTCTTTTTTCTTCTTTTTCTTTCTTTTTCTTTCTCTTTCTCTTTCTTTCTTTTCTTTCCTTCTTTTTTCTTCTTTCTTTCTTTCTTTCTTTCTTTCTTCTTTCTTTCTTTCTCTCTCTCTCTCTCTCTCTCTCTCTCTCTCCTCTCTCTCTCTCTCTCTCTCTCTCTCTCTCTCTCTCTCTCTCTCTCCCTCCTCTCCCTCCTTCGTCTTCTCCATCATCCCTCTCCCTCTCTTTCTCTTAGTCGTCCTCTCTTACTCCTCTCTCCTCCTCCTTGTCTTCCCTTCTCTCTCTCTCCCTCCTTTATTATTCTCCTTCTCCCTCTCTTCTTTGCTGTCTCATCCTGCTCTCTTCTATTTCTCTTTCTCCTTCTTTCTCCCTCACTTTTCTATTCTCTTTCTCCCATCTGTCTCTCTGTCTATCTATATCTGTCCATCTCTTATCTATCTATTTATTTATCAGTCTATTCCATTGCCCATTCTTCCTTTTTTCCTCTCCCGCACACTTCCTCTCTCCTTCCCTCCCTTTCTTTCCCTTTCCCTCTTTCTCTCTTTCACATTTAGCTCCTTCATCTTTCCCTCCCCCTCCCCCCACCAACCCCCCCCACCTCTCCAAACCCTGAAACTCCCCACCTTAAAAATCCCTTCCCCACCCCATTCTCCTCTCCCTTTCCCCTTCTCTCTCCTTCTCCTCCCCCTCCTTCATTCTCTCCTCCTTCCTCCAGCAT